ATCCTGGGGAGTCTAGCAATCGAGTGGGATGACTAGAATGCCTTGAAGTGATCTGAAACGTGAAAATCAGTTTGCCACTTTTCTTGAATTTTTTGAAACTTGTTTTCTCTCTTGCACGCCTCCCACCTCTTTGTTTTTGGTATGCACTTGTTCCTTATGTATCCAAGAATCAATTAGGGTTGCCATTTGTTTCAAATCTTTGCCGATTATGATTATTGATTCATGATTTGATCCTTGTGCAAATCTTTCCAAATTAAGCAAAATGCAATCTTTTTGTATCCATATGATCCTTGCACGATTTGATCTTGTTTCCAGCTGTGTAATGAACCTAAACATGCACAAAATCTCAAGATTTAATTAGCTTTTGATATTTTCATGATTTTATTTTGATTTTATTTGATTTAAATGAAATAAAATCAAAATAAATGACAAAAATAAAAGAATGACAAATGGAACTGATAATGGATCGTGGGTCACATTACAAACTCAGGGCAAGCATAAAAAGTTGGGCCCATTTGACAAAAAATGCAATTTTGGACACTTTTGACTTTTGGCAATTTTGCAAAAAGGGTTAACTTTTGCACAACTCTCTCATTTTTTACCCTAGAGAGGTGTTCTTATACTTTTTAGAAAGCTTATGATGTCTTCTAAGCAACCCTTTTGGTCTCATCTCAATTGAGTCTTCCATGTTCATACATGAAGCTTTGACCCAAAAGGTGTTTTTATTGACTTTTCAAAATGACCTATAATGTCCAAATTCATATCTTCTTGTGAATGCATATTTTGAACTTGGGAGCTGAAGATGGATTGTCCTCTTCAAAATGAGCTTTGGATGGGTCATTTTTGATAAAGTATGAGAAAGTTATGCTTGGTCAAAGTTGAGTTGACTTTTCCTGCAAAACCCTAATTTAGCAACTTTTGGGTTTTGATGAATTGTGAGCAATCCTTGAGGAATCATGATAAAACCTTGATCAAATGATGAATAATACTTCAAAATGAGGATGTTGACCAAAAATCTTGAAGTTTGACTGTATGTGGGCCACAATTAACTTTTGCCCTAGCACAGTCGATTTTCAGACCTTTGAGCAATTGACTGAGAAAATTTCCTCTGCAAGGCTTGAAACTTGTCATGGATGATCTTGAGAATATACTAGGACAATGGTGAGCATTTGCGATCCTTTGGACTCAAACATCTTGATGCAAACTGAAACCCTAATTTGAGGTAGACTGCCTTAGGAGAGAGTTTGTCTGGTCAACCCTTAGACTTCCTTGAGCAATTTGAGGACCTCACTTGACATGTATTGAGAAATATGGGAGGACAAATTTTTGGGTACAACACTCGCTCTCACCAGCAAGGGAATGCTTGAGTTCGGGGCTCCGTCGGGCAGCTCCTCAAGGTAAAAAGTGATTGGCTCAGATTTTCCCTTAAACCTTTCAAGGGTTACTGCCTGGGTTGGGGTTGCGTCCACCAACTCGTCGAGTTTCCTTTTCGCCGAATTTACTGAGATATCGTTGAATCCCCCACCATATATGACCATGGTAGAGGGGAATTTATCTTATTTGCGGTGTATGAACAGGGGTTCATCTTCATAGCTGTCGGGGACGTGAAGTCATTGGGCCTCATCACGAAGAAAGCCACTCGGAGTGGACCCAATTCATTGAATGGTCGGGTTTCTTCCTCGATTTCTTTTACCTCGCGGGTATTTCAGAGAGGGGCATTGTTTTGTCTATACCCGAGTCTCCCATCCTTGATGAGATTCTCGATGGCATCCTTGAGGTGGAAGCAGTGTCCCGTCAAGTGCCTGTGACTCCGATGGTACTAACAGTATTTTGTTATGTTTGCCCCGGGCTTTGTAGGAGCGGGTCGGGGACTTCTTACGTCGTCGTCCTTGAAATCAGTATTAGAGCACTCCGCAAGGATACGGTCGCGGGAAGCGGTCAACAGGGTGTATTCTGTGAACCGTCCTGCTGGTCCTCTATGCTCGCGGAAATCGCGTGGTTTCTCTCCCCTTTTCTTCTCCCCTGTCCGTTAAGGAGGGCTCGCGTCCTGGTGCTACGGAATGTTAGTTGTTCCACGGTTCCTTAAATCGCTGGCTCTATTGGATGCTTCTTTCTCCTCGTAGTCCATGTATGCCTGGGCCTTTTCAAGGAGAGCATCGAAAGACATGGGGGGCTCAATGCCGACGACCTTTCTGAATTCAATGCCCAGAAAGAGTCCCATATCGAGCAGGTATCTTTTCATGTGATCAGTGCATGGGACCTGAATATCCTCTCGGTTTAACCGATCAATGTATTCCTTAAGAGCTTTGTTGCTTCTCTGGACGATTTCCTCGAGGGCAGCCACAGTCTTCAGATGTTGACGAGACCTGGTGAAGCTGCTGATGAACTGGTTTTTGAGGCTCCTCCAGTAGGTGATCAACTCGGGGAGAGATTCTTGTACCAGTCCATAGCTGTTTTTCTCAGTATCATAGGGAACAACCTGCATTTAATTGGCCCCCTCGACATTGTGGTAGTAGAGCATTGCTTCAAAGTCAGCGATATGATCAACAAGATAAGCAATGTCGTCGTACTCCTTCAGTGGGGGAGGTTTCTCCATTCCCCTAAGAATGGGAGCATCCATGATGGCTTGTGATAATGGACTGCGGGGGTCGTCTTTGTCACTTCTGTCTAGAGAGCGAGGGGGGGCCGGTTGAGGCGGTTTTCATTGTGATGGCCTTGGCTGCGGGGAGGGTCTCTTGGTCGAGATTGTCTTTCTCCATTTCCCCTGTTTATGTTATGTTCAGGGGATCGTCGTTCCCTGTGCGGAAGGGTGTGACTGCGCCTCCTCGCAACCTTGGGTTGGCTCCTCTCTAACGCAGGGCCTCGCCCAATTCTTCAGGGAGAAGGACTTCGCAAGCCGTCTCGTCTGTGTCTCCGCGGGGGAGATCAGGAGCGGTCCTCATTTTGTCGGGGAGGAGGTGCATCAAGTCTCCTGTGTCTTCTAAGAGCCCGACGAGTCTGCTCGAGAATTGTCATCCGCTCATCCTGTGAAAAGATCATGTAGTTGATCTGGTTGATTACCGCGAACAGAGCTCTGGTCGAGGCTTCAGCACTCCTTGGGGAGGGGTTTTCCTGATATGTACTCGATACATAGTTCTGTGGAAGATGATAGTCTTCCTCGCGCGGTTGTGAGCGGGTTGATGAAGAGGCAGTCAGTCAGTCTCTGTAGTCTTGATTGGGACCGGACATGTCGTTGTTATTGGTCGGGTTATTGTTTCTAATGTTGTTGTCGATGATGTCGTTGTTGTTAGGATCAGCGAGATGGACGTTTTGGTTATTATCGACAGCTTAGTTGGCCATGACAATCGTACGGTTTGATGAAGAGTTGCTTTGGTCTTGAGTTAGAGACGAGGAAGCTGGATTCCTATAAACGACATCACTGATTGTATCTGATCAGAAGGGATTGTCAAAACCCACAAGCTTCAAGTCGAACAGTAGTTGAATGTGAAGTAGGGGTACCTGCAAGACACTCTAATGCCAAAATGAAGTTCAGAGCAAGTGCAAGCAAGTATAAGAGTGTGAGTAAGTGAATGAATATCTGACCCTCTCTGACGAAAGGGTATTTATATCCCTCAGTGTTGGGCCAAGATCCCCATTACTGGACTGAGTAAGCAGTTCCAAAAGGGAGACTGTTAGGTCCTACATGCATAGTAGGGGCTAGCACGTAGTCCCTAACCTGGATGAAATCCTCCAAACTATCAAAAAGATATGGATGCATTCTTTTCGGGATTAAGGAGACTCTGACATTCAGAGGTGTTGAGTGTCAGCCCTACAAGGAGGATGCTCGCGAGGTCCTTCTGACCGTCGTTGATCCTCCTCGCCAGTTGTGAGGTTGCCTCCAGAAGACATGTCTTGATCGATGAGAAGAGTGGACGATGCACTGGAGGAACTCTTGAGTGGGTATGTCCCTCCTCGCCATGTGGGTTTATTTCCATTGAGCAAAGCCTAGTCGACCAAAAGAGTGGAATCACTGCCCGACATGGTCGAGAGGAGACTCTTTCCCGTTGGCCTTCTCATGCAGCATAGTTGGATTGAACCTTGTATGATGTGTGGGCCAAGTGCAGGTCCAGTCCAGAACACTTATCTTTATAGTCTCAAAAAACTCATGTTAATAGGTAAGTTAAAATAAGTCAATGCAAACAAACTTTTATTCTCATTGTTCTTTTAGTTTGTTAGTTTATTTAAATATTATTTGAATTGTTTATATATATATATATATATATATATATATATATATATATATATATATATATATATATATATATATATATATATATATATATATATATATGTGTGTGTTTTTTTTTTTTCCTATGTAAACTAATAGACTAATCAAGTCTTCGAAAAGATTAAACTCAATTTTTTTAACAAGTCAGTCTTAGGGTCAGTCTTAGGCGTGTCAAAGCCTAACAAGTCAGTCTTAGGGTCAGTCTTAGGCGTGTCAAAGCCTAGTTCAGTTCAGCATATGTCCACCCCATAGTTGTTTGTCATACTAAATAAACAAGTTAAAATAATTTTTAGATGTAACCACTATCATATAAAAGAATATAAAAGAATAAGATGTTCATGATTTTTGCTAGCTCTACCAAGTTAAAAATCTAACTATACCATTTGGATGCAATTATTAAGACACCTTGATTTTGCTATGTACTTGCAAGTATATGAGAACAATTTGGAGATGTATTTTCCATCTTAGAATTTGTAAATAAATTTTTAAATCATATTGTTCGAATATAAACTCAAACTAGAGGAATTTCTCAAACCCCTTATACGAATATAACAATTGTTTTTGGACAGGGTTAATTCAGATTGACCCTTTTAGCTATATTTCATTTGAATTGACCAATCTAATAGATATGATAGATATGAATATAACAATTCGTCACTTCCATCTTTCTCGTTGAAATTCAAGAAATTGAAAAGTCATAGATTATTAATTTAACTAAAGGGCCGAAACTGTATTAGAATAAAATAAAACAAAACAAAAACATGAGGGTACAGTTTTGCCCCCTATTAATTATTAGTACTGTAGAAAAAACAAAAAGAAACAAAATAGACATGGATACTTTCATTCTCATAGTTAATGGATGCCTTCTAAATTTTGCAACTTGGAGGTAAACAACTACATAACAAGAGATGCTTCTACCAACTTTAAGAGAAAAGAAAAGCATTCCCAATTTCACACATGGTTGGCCAAAAAAAAGTAATGGGACATATTGCCTCAAAAAAAGTAATAGGACAGAGAACTCTTGAGCTGATTTTCTAGAATGATCAAGTATTTCTACTATTAGGGGCATATTGAGACAAAGACTACTAGTATTACAAAGAGATATCATAAACCTATCTACCAAGGATTAATCTTCTCACAGCCCAAAAGCTATTTTAATCAGGAATAGGCCCCATTCTCAGGAGAGTGATGAGCTTCATGGCCTGTTCTTCCTGCATACAGAAAACATCATTCTCAGTATCTCTTGATCTCTCTTTTGAACCAACCATAAAAAGGAAATTTTTTGGGAGAGAAGGGAGAGAAATTTCAAAAACCATTAAAGTTCATACCTATCAGTTCAAAACCAGCATTCCTAGAATCTGGACGACTTCCCCAATCCGAGGGATGGAAAGGAACCACGTTTACTCCATATTGTGGAGACATGAAATGACTTCCTCCAATAGGTTGATGCTCTTTGTTTCCCGGGATTGCATTCCCGTTTGAAGAGTTAAGTGCTGGGCGGAAACCTAAACCTGATGTGGGATCACCAACCGGTGATGGTAACTTGCTGGTAGAAGTATTGCCTTTTATACTGGCACCAGTGTCCTTGGGTTCAATAGAAAATGTGCCAGCGATGACCTGTGTGAATTAAATCCAAAGTGATTTCATAATGTAAGTTGTACCGCGCCGTGTTTTATATAAGTGAAAAATAAATACATCAAAAATAGAATAGTGAAATTTGACAAATTATTTAAATTAATTGACTGACACATGGTAAATAATACATATTTATTGGGTTTTAATTATTAGGATTTAACTAATCTCACTTAGATTTTGAACAAATTAATATTTCTATCCTAAGATTGAACAAGAGACATGTTTAGGATATTTAAATCTCTTGCACTCAAACCAACACAGTTTTGTGCCTAATTTAAATTTCCTAGTGCAGACTAAAGACTAAATTTGAAGGTATATTGAAGAAAGAAATTTAGAGAGATCCAAAATGATAAAAAATCCTTATCATGACCGGAGTGCCAACATAGTTGGAATATCAGTAAGTCATAACAATGCATCTGCACTTCTCAATATGTCAATCTGCCTAGTATGATTCATGTGAGAAGTTTAAATACTTCAGGATTTTCCACCCCATGCATGAATTTGAGTTTAAACACCAACAACACTAATAGAACCGGTTCTACTGAAATCAAAATACTCTAAATATTAACTGATATTGCCTTTGTGTCTTCTTAGTTTTAGCCACATTTGATTTTGAAATTGACTTGTCGGCTATAGTTTTCTCTAATTCTAATATAGTGAAATTCTGTTCACTAGATCAGTTTTTTATACTTAAGTTACCATATCAAAAGTAAGTTTCTACTTTGTATAAGAAATTGATCAGCAGACACAGGTCATATTTCCCACAAGTTAAAGTTCAACCAGATCCATGCAGCCAACCCCACTTAGTGGGATAAGGCTTGGTTGTTGTTAGAAATTACCTGAACTTGACTAGCGGCTTTGAGGGGTCCGGCAATGCTTCCACCTACAAGTTGCCCATCAGAATGAGCTAAGCATACACTAAGACCACCAGAACGGCCTTCATGTTCATTACGGACATAGGATCCAGTCAGGGAAATAATGTCAAAGCGACCCTTTATGACAAATATAAAAATAGTTAAACATTGACAACAACAATACAAGCATTAAAAAAGATAGTTATGTACATAATAACTTGTATGCTAGTATTTCTTTAAAAAACTTCATTATAATTTGTATGTTTAATCCTATCTTTCTTAAGATTTGAGAAACAATTAACAAGCAAATAAGGGAAGGATTGATTTAGAAATTAATGGCAAAAAAAGTGATTAGACAACCTTGGTTCATTCACTAATAGTAGAGGTGACTTCAAATTTTCAGTTTTAAACACATGAGCTTTACAAGAAAAATCTTAAATAAACAATATTTTATTTTATTTTTAAAAAGAGAGAAGACAAGATGTTAGTCTAGTTTATTCTGATACTCTTAGATAATATTTCTACCCAAGGCTGCAGCTGAGTCTCATTTTCTTTAAGAGGTTGCTGGAAGTTTAGAGATCAAAATAAAACATAAAGAGCATGGAGAAAAGAAAGTATTTGTTTACCTCATATGTAATATTGCCTCCAGCGGTTGCCGGCTGACGAAGAGTGGCACTAGAGATGGAACCAGATGCAGACAAAATGCACATCTCACACCTACTATGTTTTTGCATGAGGGACATAATATTTTGGCCAATATCCTATTGAAATTGTGTGCAGCCGCAAACAATTAGGGAAGTAACAGATAGGTAAAAGAAAGCTGACAGATTTAATAACATCAAGCAGATGACAAACTAAACATGTTCAAATACCAGACAAAAAGAAAATTTAAGCTATCTAAAAAAGTGAAGATCAAAATGGTCATATGCCAAAGAAAAATCAAGACATATTATTAAGTGACTGTGAGTTAATATCACATTACACAGTTTGTTGAAGTTGCAGTTAAACAGGGAACAGCAAAAATAAAAATTATAATTATAATTATGGTTTGATATGATTGATTAATTGTTATATTATGATACAAAAAGACTAAACCCTGACTTTCATTTATACTACTATTACAAACAAACATGAAAACTTTCTAACAGTGTTGTCAAATATCGATATCGGAAAATATCGGAACACCAAAAAAACGATATGAGAAATATCGAATCGCGTAATGGGCAAATATTGGAAGCCACAAAGCGGTTAAAACAGAAATCAAAAATCAAAAACTTAAAAACTTAAATTAAAAATTTCAAATCCAATAACTAAAACAGAAAAACTACAAACTGAAATTTAAAAGGAATTAAAACTCAAATAGTTAAATAGTTCAAACTAATAACTAGGAGTTCTTCTAAGTTAACTAATGATAAAAGATTTAACTATTCTCCTTTTCCCCTTCCCCACATAATCATTACTCTCCTTTTCAGACAGTGAGGCATATCCTTCAGCTTCTTCAATTGAATCATCTGAATCAATATCCTCAAATTCTGCTTCTGATTCTTCAATGACAGGATCTTCCACTTCAATCACTTGTTGTTTTCCCTTCCTAGATGAAGAACCAGCCGACTTCTTTGTTTTAGATGAAGTGCCAACAACATTAGTTGTTTTAGATGGAGTTTTTTTTATCTTTTTAGTTGTTTTCCTATTATATCTTGAGCAGGTAGGTATATATAAAGCCAGGAACCGACTCAGTACCCATATTTTCCTATTTCAATGTTTCTTCCTCTTTAGATTCTACTTTTCCACCTTCACCTTACCCTCTTTAATGTTTTTACTTTTCCACCTCTTCACCTTACCCACTTTTAAAGTTTTTAAAAATGATTTATTATAAAAAAAATAACAATAAAAATATGGCTTCCAATATTCTACTCATAACATGTATACCGGTATACCAGAAAATCGCCGATCTCACGAGCATCGCGAAATTGAAATGTTATACCGGCTTTCGTATCGGATAGCCAAAATTCTGATATGCAATACCGGATATTTAACAACACTGCTTTCAATTTGAGATAATAAACAAATCATATGAGATAATCCAAAATCCAAAATACTCTATATCAACATGAAGATATGTTCATATCTTCTAATTTAGATGCTAGATAAAGTATGAGACACGCCCTTGTGTTGTGTCTCATCTAAACCTTTATCATAAGTAGTAGAAAACAAATTAGACTTAATTAAGATTCTAATGCAACCTCATTCATTAACACTCTTTTTTATATACATACATAACATCCATGCCTATGTTAGCCTTGCTATGTATAGCCGGTCTCGAGCTCAGATAAAAGGAGAGGGTTGTATTAGGCCGTCGACAGCCAAATTTGGGATTGTAGCGGTCGGTCTAAATTAGTTTTACACTAAAATCCAATATTTCACCACATCAAACCACTTCTATAAGTTATAACTACTCCCTCAACCTTAAATATAAGCAAAAAAAGTACATGTACTTGGCTGGCCAACTACATGTATATTTTTTTCTTAAATTTAAACCTAGATGGAGTACATTATAAAATTAATGGTATGAAATGAAAAAATATAATATAGATTCTCTATTGAATATTAGTATAAAACTAATTGGCGGTTATTTTATTTTATTTATTTCGAAAAATTACCAGATTAAGCCAGCAAATGCACACATCTAACATAAATAAACCAAATCAACGGATCAAGAACAATGCATACCTCACCAGCAAGAACAGTAACAATGTGAAGATTGAAGTTCTCTCTCAAATTACCTACATCAACAAAAAATCATCAAATTCACATTTCAAGTTTTCATCATCATGCATGCAATTAGTTTAAGTCAACAATCACTAAATAAAAAGTTCCAAAATTAAAAATTAAAAAATAAAATAGGTTAAGATAGAAACCTAGAGAAGAGGAATGAAACTTTTTCTGCTTGTTGAGATTCAAAGACGAAAACGACGTCGCAGGAGCAGGGGAAGTAGCGGCGGCAGCAGCGGCGGCGGCAGCGGCAGCTTTCCTAGCGGCGAGACCTTCTTGCGGAGACTCGTACTTCCTTGGCCTACCTCGCTTCTTCTTATTGTCGGTAACGGAAAGAAGGTTACTGTGGGACCCATCGGTGGTTGAACCGTTAACTGGAGAAGCGTTGACGGTGACGGGGGTAACGGTTTGGTGCTCGAAGAGTGAGGTGAGTAGGTTGGTGTTGTTGACGTTGGGTTCCATTTTAGTACAGAGGGTAAAGAAGACGAAGCTCGAGGGTTAATGATTCTTTTGAGAGGAAATAAATAGTAATTATTTATTTAGGTTGGAAAATATATGATGGAGATTTTTATTTATATATTTATTTATGTGTTGTGCTGTGTTAGTAATTGACAGTGTTTTTATGGTATGGGATGCTGTCTGAATTAGGTTTACGGCAACTAACCTTTTTTCTTTTTTTAATTCGAAAAGGTCTATACGAAGAAATTGAAAAGTATTTTTATTACATTTTTTTTAAGTTTTCGTGTTTTAAAAACTGATTTATTTAGTTTTGTATAGGAAGGAAATACAGAACAAACTAAAACATAATTTCTCTTACATCGGAATTGACAAGTAAAGTGACATTAGGGTGAATGAAATCTACCTCAATGGTGACGTGACTTAACTTCTTTTTTTTTTTCTTTTTTTTTTCTCTTCTTTGTCCTCCACTTTATCAACTGAGAAACATTTTGTATCTAAAAATTATTTTTCTCAACTAAATTGTACTTTTGATTCTATGTTAAACATATTTATTATGAATTGTATATAAATTTGAAATTGGTTGGATATTGTTCCTTCAAGTACAATTAAATGGTTAAAATATATGTACTTTTACTAAATCAAATAAGACTATTTTGGTGAATAACGTACACTCTTCCTTAACACTAACTTTTTAAGAACAAACACATTTTTTCTTCTCTCATCCTTCTCACACGCTAACGACTATTCTCTCTCTTCTCAACCCTACTCTCTCTTCACATTACTCTTTCTTCAACAAAACCTTCACGTTCCATCATCTTCCACCGTGAAGTCTTTATTTTTCGATGGTCTCCAAGCTCTTTCAACTCAGTTGCGGTGCAGTCCAACTTTAAAATGGTAAGACCTTATGAAAATGTCAAAGACATCAATGAAAGCAATGAACTTTAGAAAATAGTTGTTCGTGTTCATCACAAATGGAGTATTGTTTCAAGGAATAAGGAACACTTTGAAAATGATTTTGATTGATAAAGAAGTAAGCATGACCTGGGTTCGATTTTTTTTATGCAAGTGTATTCTGTTTTTTAGGGTTTACATGAACAATTTTCTATTTATTTTATGTATGGGTAGCCTGGTTTGTTCTATAGGACTTATGTTGAGTTTTACAACCGATTTTCGGTATTATGATGGATCTTTGCTTTAAAGATGCATGTATGATATTATAGAAAGTATTTTTCTTTTATATTATACATGTTACTTTTCTGACAAACATATTTTAAATGTTAAATAATTTCCATTACCACTAATCACTTTTATGAAATATGTTAACGTAGCTAACAGACGTGTATTTTATTTCCAGGGTTCTGATATTCACTGCAAAGTTTCGGCTCCGTTGAAGCAAGCATATGATTATGTCTTATATGTGGATACGACTTATACCATAGCCAACTTTCAAGTATCTTTGAATGATCTTTTGTTCAAGTCGTTCGAACATAAATATATGTTGACTTTCAGCGGTGGTACAAGTGTTGGTGATGAAAACAAACATGAGATAGCACCAAAACCGCTCAGTTTCACTCCGTTTATTGATATTATAAATGGAAAATGGAAAAGGGATGTGCTCATAGGTAATGCATAACTTTATCTAATTTTGTTCAATATTGGTTCCATGTATACTTATGTAATGTGCAAGAGTTAAAGTGTTTTATCTTTCTTGGTTTATTTAAATATGATCGGTCAACTTGGTATTGAAATATTTAAGGTACGCTCACTTCACTTTTATGTTAACTATTGAATTTTTATAATAAATGTTTAATGTAACATTTCCTAATAATTATGCACTAACAACACTGTCAATTGTACTATGTAGAAGACTTATGCCATGCAGTTCCATGATTACAATAAACAAAGGAAGGAAATTATTTTTGGTCAAAACCAATTGTTATTGCTATGCAATATACAAAGGTCAAAGAGGATGGTCAAACAACCAAGCTCTTTTGTAACTTTTACCATTTATTCACATTTTTGTTTCTTCTGCTTAATCTTTTTTATTTTTCACAACCTTACAGGTAAATATTTATTATGTGTTTATAACACATTCAATGTCACAATATTACACATCAATGATGATTTATCCCAGATTAAATACTTTTTACTAGGTTTCAGTTTCTTCTCTTTTGTACATGTTTCCTTCTATCTTTTTTTGCATTAATTAACAATAACATTTTCAACTATTTTTCAACAAATTTACATAGCTTTCAAACACATCCTTTGCGTGATACAGAAAGTCAAAGTATTACCACACTTTCACAAGGAACTCATGCTTCTGGTAGTAGTCAACCAAGCACATATGACAAATTTATGTACAAGGATGTACTGGTTCTTCTCAGTAAAATTGTCCAATTTAAATATGTAAGACCCGGTCTAATTATTCTACTCATATATGTGTCTCTTAATCAACCCATGACAATCATTGGTTTCATGTAATATTGTGTTACAGACTACTCAGTGTGTCACTATCGCTAAAATTAGCAAAATAATAGCTGCTCCAGGAGGTTGGTATTACCAAGCCTGCCATGAGTGTCCAATGTGACACCCCAAATTAATTCAAGTGTTAAATAATTAGGAATTTAATTATTAAATTAATTAAAGGCTTAATTAATAATATTTTGGATTAAATGGATGAATTAATCATGGAATTAAAAAGGAAGACCGGGGGGTGTAAGGTTGAATTGGAGGTGTGTGAAGTAAAAAGCTCTACTAAATAATTATTAATTTATTTCTATTATTTGGAAAATAATAAAAGGAAAAGAAAAAGAAGGTTATTGGGAGAAAGTTATTGTACGTGAAATTGGAGAAGAGAAGAGAAGAGAGGAAAAAGCCAAACGTCGTGAATTCGAAGGATCATCGCGAGGTAAGGGGTGATTTCAATTATTTAATATGCCTTATAGATTTTGAGATCAATAGAATTGATTAAGCATGTTAGGAATCTCGATTTTGGAATTCTAGGTTTGTAGGATTATTCCTAATTGTGTCAGAGTATAGGAATTGGAACCATTAATGTGACGAATAATTAATAGGAATGATGGAAACATGATTTATGATGTTGTATTGATGTGTATTGGCTGCATTTTGGTGTTCCAAATGTTATAATTCGTATGGGTATGAATTGGATGGGATTGGAATGAATAATGCTGTCAAAATAGCAGATTTTGACTCTGCAGGTCGTGGGAACCGGTTCCCAGTGGGAAGGAACCGGGTTCCACTGTGTGAACGTACAAAAACTTGTAAAATTGGTCGCAGGAACCGGTTCTTGTATAGGTAGGAATCGGGTTCCAGTACATTTTCCAGAAACGTAACTTTTTGAAAAATATTAAACTTTGAAAATTCATAACTTTCAAACCGTAAGTCCGATTTGAGTGTCGTTTTCGGCAGTATTTCTTAAATTTAAAATGCTATCTTATAAAATAAGAAAAATATTATTTTATGAAAATTATTTTAAAAAGAGTCGAATTCCCGATTTTTGTAAACTTGGTATTGATCGGAACTTTATGAGTCTGTCGGGATACTAACTGCAAGTATACAATTCAATCGTTCTAGTTTTAAAAGATTATCGAACCCACAGAGACTGAGGATCAATCGCATACGATCTAATGCTACATTTTGTCTAACTAAGCGATGAATATTCGATTTTTGGGGGAAACAATTTGATTAAAAGTAATAGTACTAATTATACCGGTATGTGATAATCGGACTTAGGGAATTCGATGAATCGCTTGGCCTATAAAGTATTTCGGTAAAAGCTAATTGTTTAAAAACCTGAGACATACACTCTCGTGTTTATGAGATAAGTCATGCTACTAAACCTAGTGGGTGCACTTTAAATTTAATAACACTTTTTGAAAACAATTTGAATTTAATTAATTTATTAAAACACTCTCGTGTATTTAAAAATCAATGCTTCGTTACCACTATATGGATTGAACCCCAACTCTCGCATGCAGGTTCTTGCCTTAATTAATTTCCCACTCTCGTGGCAAAATCGTGTTAATTAACCTCTCACTCTCGTGACAAGGATAGTTAAATTAATCTTGGAAATTGGAAACCAGAAATTGTTTTATAAATATTTTTGGCCAAGGTATCATTGAATTCTTTCAGTTCTTACGGTCACATACCGGTATTAATAATTTAGCCAGACATAATTAATTTAACAGCAATAAAGTTTAAAATATAATTCATGGCAATAATTGGAATATTATAAAAACTGAATAAATAATAATTGCAATATAAAAAACCTGGAATTAAAGATGCTATAGTAATCTTGAGGTAATACAGTAATCCAGTCTTCGAGCTTGACTTGCAGTAGAAATTCGTGTTAATTCTTGAAAGAAGAATTAACACTTAAAAATAGAAACTAAGGCTTTGAATGAAAATTACAAGAAAATGAAAACAGAATTCCAAAACAAACAAATTGGAAAATAACTGTAAAATAAAATAATATTTGCTCTGAGTAAAATTCTTCGACCCCTGCAGCTTTGCACTACCACACATATATATAGCAGAGGAAATGGCAGTTGAAAGTGTCTTGAGAAGAGGCTTGAGTGGCATGAAAATAGGATGCATGGTTACTGAGTGGAGGAAATATTGGAGAAGGATTCTGCCTCACGTTGCCCACGTCTCCACCAAAGCATAACATTCCTCTTTACGCGCGTGACGGTCGTCACATGTGGGTGACGGTCGTAATGCGCTTAAATAGCGCATTACGCTCGTCAACAATGTGTTACGAGCGTTATTTCTAGTTGGGGAGGCGTGACGGTCGTCACAGGGTGTGACGGTCGTCACAGGTGCAAAAATCCAAACTTTGTATTTTTAGTTCTTTTTCTCTTTGTATATTGTCTAGCCTTCTTCATGTTGTCCTTTTCCATTGGTTTGAGTTGACAAATGTTATACCTGTAAAAAGACAAATAAACTCGGAATAATCGGGGGTTAGACGACTTAATGTAATATAA